CACTGGGATTTCTGGAGACAGATCACTGTTTTTGTTTACTGTTGATGGGGGACCTAGTTTTTTACCCTGAGCCAGCAGAGACACAAAGGCATGTTAGCAGTCTGCATAAAGAGATCTGCAGTCCTTTTTAAAAACAAAGATACCCCCAGAGAGGGTGCCATTCAAGGAAGAGATAAGCCACTGACTGTACATCCTGACAAGCCCAGCACTCATGAGCCAGGGTGAATTCAGTCGAGGCACCAGAGCGAGGCTCCCGGGCAGCCGGAAGCATCGCGTGCTCACCGAGTTATCAACGCACTCGTTCATGCTATCCCTTTCCGGGAAGAGGGACGCTTGTCCCGTGGCGCTCAATGCCCTGTGTAAAGCCCAGAATGGCAAGTTTTCTTCAGAGACAATGGGAGACCATCCTTGGACATGTCCTGACAGCAAAGAGGGCAGCCAGCCCTCGCTGGACAAGCCTGGCAGACTCTCTCTTCCTGGAACCTGGAACCTTCCCTGACCAGATGCCATCAGGGTGAGGGTTCCCAGAGAAGCTCCGCATCTCCACTCATTCCAGAGCCAGGCATGGAGAGATTGCTGTAGTAACTTGCCCAGGAGGCGGGTGATGCTCCAGGAGGTGGGTGATGCTCCAGGAGGCGGTGATGCTCCAGGAGGCGGTGATGCTCCAGGAGGCGGGTGATGCTCCAGGAGGCGGGTGATGCTCCAGGAGGCGGGTGAAGCTCCAGGAAGCGGGTGATGCTCTAGGGGGCGAGTGATGCTCTAGAGGGCGGGTGATGCTCTAGGGGGCGGGTAAAACTCCAGGAGGCAGCATGGACAAAATGCCTCGAGTTCTCCCTAGCCTTGCTAACTACCTCTCTCCAGACCCAGAGCGCACCAGGCCCGTGCTGCCGGCGGCTGTGGGATCCCCGATTCCTCCTGCTGTCCGTTACGGAAGCGCCCTTTTGTCTCAAGGCTGTCCCATCGACGTCAGGTCACTGCCCAGCTCAAAACTCCCTGGTGTTGCTTCCTGCTTTTAAATCCGCGAAGTTTGACCTCCCTGCCCCGGCATTCAGAGCCCCCCCACGACCTGGTTTCCACCTGCCATTCCGGGCCTGTCACTCGGCTGCACCCCAACGTGAGTCAGTGACCACACGCAGCCCTGCTGCCTCTCAGGTGCGCCCGGCGCTCTGTGGCTCCTGCTCCCTGAGCACCCTCCCCTCCCCTGCGCCTCCAGGAAAACGGTCCTCTCCACCCTTCTCGCTCCACCCTCCCCCCCACAGGCCTGCAAGCTTCTCCAGTGACTCATGTGCTGCCTCAGATCTGTAGTCATCGTCTCCACATTCAAGTTGCCGGAGCTCAAGGAACACGCCCCCGGGAATCCGTCCCTGCTTCGGTCAGAAAAGTCGTGTCGGGGTGAACGGCTCAGTGCTCCGTTCCGCTTTGTAACGAGTTCGAGTTCGTGAAGCTTCCTTCCAGCACAGGACACTGTTGTCACGTGTTATTATGTCCACCAGACGCGATGCCATTTTCACCATTTACGGTTTTTAAATTATTTGCTATTTTCTTACTATTTTCCTATGTGCGTACGTCTTTTAACGGGCCTGCAATCAAACAAACAAACAAAAACCACGAGGAAGGTGATGTGAGGAACCATTCATCACCTGCCTTGCCAGAGAGAGACGGGGAATGTTGTACGCGTCTCCCTTTGCCCCGGGGAAAAACTCTAAGGAGCCACGGGGTCACATGGCCAAGGCGCTGAGCCCCCTCACAGCCTCACAAGGAGACACGGCCGGGTTCCTGCTCAGCTGGACAAGAAACCCCAAACCCAGCTCACCGAGGGCCCCCTCAGAACGGAACCTCCCAGGTCCGAACCCAGCTCGGGGGCTGCCTCGGGCCCCCTCCAGGCTTCACCACCGCGGTCGTGGCTGAACGGCACGTTCAACCAGCCTCAGAGCTCGGTCTCCCTCCCCAGCAGCCACCCCCCTACCCCGTGGAGGCCGGTGGGCCCGCAAGTGTGTGTATGCCCAACGCCACGCACGCCCCGTTCAGAATGCACCTCCGCCTGACTTTCCACGTTTACAGTAATCGGCATCGTTCCACCAGGTCCACTGTGTCCAACTCTGCCCTTGGGGAGCCTACCCCTCAGTTAGCCCTCAGAATGATTTTAGAAGTCAGGACTCTCTTCAACGCCCTGCAAAAGCCTCTTAGCTCTTCGTGTGCTCACGATGCCCTCAAGGCCTCATATAAGGGGTCTTCGCTAGCTCTGTGGACCCTTTTCCAGAAGTTCTTTCCCTCTTCCCGACCTCAGGGCCTTTGCACCTGCTGTCCCCTCACCTGGGAGGCCCAAACCTAGATGCTCAC